TCACACTCTGCTCTTCAGGAAAGAATGTATCCAAACAGTTGTAAAATTTCTGATCCAACTTGAAACATTAAGTCTCCCAGGAGTTGTGTTTTAAACTGGAAATGAAAAATCCATCCTTAGCAATGGAACTCAAATGTCTCATTCTTTAGGGAGCTCTCCATATGCCTGTGCAACTGTGGCTATAACTGCTCCTACTTAGGGCTCCCGTAATGCTCCGTACACGCCTCCCTCTTGCACGTGCCCCGTCTTACAGTAGATTGTGTGTCTGTAAGTTCCAAGGGGCAGGGGACACGACAAGCTTCTAGAGATTTAATTCTCGACATAGAGCAAGTGCTTAATAAACAGTGAAGGGAGGAGGGAACAAATGAGTGGATGGCTGCATCTGTTTCCCCTGCTGGACCAGGGCACCTGGCTTTCAGTTTGAAAGGCAGCATTGCCTACTTGAGGTAGGACTCTGCAGCCAGACTGCCCGGGTAAAATCCAAATTCTACCACTTAGTAGCTAACTGTGCCTCATTTTCCTCCTATGAAAAATGGAGACAATGATGGTACATACCTCACAGGGCATAGCAATGATTAAAAGGGTTAATGTATGTAATATACTTAGACACAGTACCCTGTGAGTATTGGCTCCTGCTATTCTTGTCACTTGAATCGTTAGTTCCTGCCCAGCGGACGTTCAGTAAAGAGCACACTGAGCATCGATCATGAGTGGCCACGAGGTACAAAGCTATAGATGCTCCTTTCCCCTGCAGTCGCACCAGGATGCCCACTCATTTCATGGGTGCAGAGAGCAGGGCCCGGGCATGGAGGGAGAGAAGAGGGGGAGAATGCCGAAGACAAACCCCTCCCCCAACCACTAACTTCACTTCCGGGTAGCCTCCTCTGCCCAGCCGTGAGCGCTTGGTTATTTACATCATTTTCTGAAACTGTATAAATATCAGTGGAATTTTTACCAAATTCCTTTAGTCGGCTACCTCAAGTTTCTGATTCCCTTTAACCAAGAAGACTCCATCTTTATATAGACACAGTGGATGGTTGGACACATTTATGTTTACAACCTTTTTATTTGTCCAGTCTTGATCTTAATCTGTAAGAAGGGAACATGCTCAAAGCAAGCATTTGGCTACCCTCAACTGAATTACTACTTGACCATTAATACTGTTCAAGAGACTCATCCAATCTAGGCAAAAATATCCTGGAGATAAAGTGATCTGTGAGCAACTTGCTTTCCATTCTGTTTTTGTAAAGCAAATACTGAGTTTCAGGCGATTGTGGAAACTTAGTAGAAAGAGTCTAAATGGTTTACAACAAAACATTTCAAGGCAAATGAAAAGGTAAAGGTAAATAAAATATAAAACATTAACAAAAGCGATCTCTCAACTTTTCTTGTTGCGTCACCTGAACTAGATCTGAGATCAAGAGAAGCCCCGATTACTTTATGCCTGTTTGTTGCAATCAGATAATTACAGGCAGATATGAAGGTGCTGTACACACAAACACACGTTGAATCCTGCTTTGTTGTTTGCTTTCAGGCTTTTCATTTAGCCTACCATATATTAATAATATTTATTCATAATCTGTGCATCCTCCCCCCCACACACTGGGATGTAAGCTCCTTACAGGCATGATTTATTTTTTTGCTTTGTGCGCTTATTAGAGTCTGGAACACTGGAGGCACTCAAAAACTTGCAGCATGAATAAAGAGACCTCAAGTCACTTGAAAAAAATTGCATTCTCCAGGTGAAATTCAAGCACCTAATAAAATTCTGGAGGTTTGTAAAACCCTTCATCCTCTAAAACTTAGACTAGCATTTTCTACAGCAGAACCAGGGCCAGAAGGGAAAATTCTGGGGGAGAAGCTATTCTAACGAGATAGCTAGTGAGAGAGATCTGAGGACCAAGTGCTCAGTGAGAGTCAAGGGTAACCTTTGCTTTACCAGAAAGAAAAGGAAACAGGAAAAAAAGGAGAAACGTCTTTGAGAATTTATCTTTTGCCAGAAGATGTTCTAGGAAGAAAACAGATCGCAGACTGTTTTCAGGTACAGATTCTTTGGTTTCCTCTCTCTGTGTTATGTGGCAAATTCTTTCAAAAGGAATGGTCTGCAGCCAATGGATATGCTACTAACTACCATAAAAAGCAGTTCGGTTACTGGCTATGTGCTCAGTGTGCGAGTGTCAATGACTTTCCCTTGGACCAGAGCAATGAGTGTGGCCTTGGGCGTGTTACTTAACTGCTTTGTGTCTCAGTTTCCTCATCTATAAAAAGGAGATAAAAATAATACCCTTCATAGAGCTGTTTTGCTCATTAAATGAGAATACACATAAAGCAGTGACTGACAAATTATGACAGCTCAATGAACATTAGCTTTTACCATAATCATCGATAGGTTTGCCTAGGTTTGCCACTGGCAGCTGCTAGAAGGAGAGGAGGAAACTTTTTCTTTCTAGTGATGCATGTGTTCACTATCTGGATTTGTGGTGAATTTGAATTTCTTCCAAATACACAGGTTTCACAGGTTTATATATGCGTCAAAACTTATCAAACAGTACATATTTAATAGGTGCATATTTAATAGTACATACTTAATATGTCAGTTAAACCTCAATCAAGCTTTATTTTTTAAAGTTTAAGCTAAAAATTATTCACGAATAATGCTTCTAGCCTTTAACCCTTGACCTGGGTCAGGATGCCTCTACATGATTCTTTGCAGAGGAGACCATGTCTCTCTGTCCTCCTGGTGTTAAGCCAAATGGTGAGCGAACACTTTAATCATAACAACAGCTGTAGTTCTAGCGCCTGGCCTGTGGGATGTGCTTAACACATGTGTAACTATAAAACTTGATGCTTAATAGTTATTTGGATTTAACTTCATTAACCAAAGAAGTACAAAAATGTGATTTTCCAGGAAGTCTTATTTAAGAGGTGATACCTGTAGAAAATCACAAAGGCAAGAGTATGTATTTCTTCCAAATACACTGAAGAAAATGGAAGAACCACTTAGCAAGGCCTCCTCTACAAAAGGTCCTGGAACAGTGACCAGCCAGTGACTCAGAATCTGACTTCATCCTGGGAACCATCTACCTCAAAGTGCGGAGCAGGGTGAAAGCAAAATGGCTGGGAAAACGCTTGCCTCTGGTAAAGAGCTTCAGGGAAAGTGGGCACTAGAAAGAAGCAGTTTAACCCATGCAAACACAACTGCACTAAAAACAGAGATTAAAGAGAGTGGCTGTAATTCACACCAAACATTTGGTAGCAGGAATTTACACTTTTACTGCTGAGTTCAATTCACAAAAACCACAATAATATTTATTTAACATCTGTTACGTGCCAACAGTTTGGTGGTTATTGTTAAGATTGGTATGCATTAGAATAAATTACAGGAGGCAATGAAATCTTCTTAAGTCTTTGTTTTTGGATACAGAATATGTCTAATCAGAATGAGTTAAGTGCAGAACTTTCAAGAGAGAAGAAAATGGATAGTTACCAGCTAAGCTGCTTCCTTGTCTACGACTTTATATGCAAGCTTTTGTGGCCATCGTGCCTTATGTAAGACATTAATAGCCACTGTGTCATTTCCCCCAGTCGTTCAGCATGAACCAGGTAGGGGTTACACTGAGTGTCCAGTAAACTTCGTTGAATAAGGTCACAATGAATGGGGAAAATGTATTTGGAAATTCTTTCCTACAAATGAAATCCTATGGTCATCCATTCATTAAATAAGTAGTTCCTACATTGTCCTGGGTGTGTGCAATGGTAAACAAAAAGAGATGGTCTTTAGCCTTGTGAAGCCAGTGGGGAGAAGGTGGATCCAAAAATAAATACATAATTACGCATTGTGATAAGAAAAGGAGACATGTGTGTACCAGGTGGCAGAGAACGCTCACTTTAAGTTCTCTCCAGAAACAAGAAAGGCATTGCCCCACTGCCCCCTGATTGTAGCTGCTTCTCTGTGTTTTCGAATTAGGAGTAATTATGTGCAGTTGACATTTCTGTGCTTGGGGTGCAGCAACCTGTTTAACGAGCATGGCCTGCTCCTCCCAGGGCTAATTTGAGTAACTGGCAGGCAGGCAGAGATGGAGTCGGCAGCCAACCACTCCAGGCAGAAAGGCGGTGCTCCCTGGCACGCAGCGCAGAAGAGGCGCATCGGCCGCCCTAATCCCAGCTACATAGGCAGGCGAGCCGCGGTGACGTGAGCAGGCTCTGGGCAAAGTGGGGGAGTGGAAGGGAGAGTTTGGCAAGACCGTGGCAGGTATCTGAATTTATCTTCAGGTTCTTTCCCCGTCCTTCCTGAATACCTGGTTCCCTGAAGAGCTGCATTCACTGTGTGACTGGGAGGAGCACTCCTGCGAATAGCTCCGGAAGGCTGAGTCCTAAGACTCTCCTGTCTTGCACCTAAAAAGATCCCAAGGTTCTTTCGTGGTAAGGGGCTTACTGGGAAAGCATGACTGTGAAGAAAAACCCAACTGCTGTGTCGTTTTATGTTTTTATCATGCACCTCATTGCACTGGTTAAGTTGTCTTTGATGTTAAAATACTGCTGCAGATTGAGGACCCAATAAAAGGCCTTTCAATATGAAATAGGCAAGCAGTGTAATGGAAAGAAACGCTTCCCGAATGGATGTCACGAACTGTGACAAGACTTTCTCAGTACCATTCCTAAAAGTCACTGCTAATATTTGAACAAAAACCAGACATTAAAGAATTCCATGGTAGGCCCATAGAGAGTTAGGTTAAGCAGGCTGTCACATCAGCTTAGCAGAAAATGCCTACGATCATATAATATCTACTGCGTATATTAGGTGTATAATGTACCTATCAAATGCCCACTGCATTTGTAATGATTCTAATTATTATGAAATAAGGACCCTCTTGTTGATATCAAATAATTTGGTAGCCCCCCGACTTACAGTTCTTGTACCTTTACTTGGTTGAGAATATATACAAATGACCCCAAAGGGCACTGTGAATGTCAGTTAAAGCTTATATAAAGACCAAATGGCTTCTTTACCGAGACGACACCAAATGGCGGATGACGCCGGTGCTGCGGAAGGGCCCGGAGGCCCCGGGGGCCCTGGGATGGGAGGCCGTGGTGGTTTCCGCGGAGGCTTCGGCAGCGGCGTCCGGGCCGGGGTCGCGGTCGCGGAGCTCGCGGAGGCAAGGCAGAGGACAAAGAGTGGCTCCCCGTCACCAAGCTGGGCCGCTTGGTGAAGGACATGAAGATCAAGTCTCTGGAGGAGATATATCTCTTCTCCCTGCCCATCAAGGAATCTGAGATCAATGACTTTTTCTTGGAGGCGTCCCTGAAGGACGAGGTTTTGAAGATTATGCCTGTGCAAAAGCAGACCCGTACTGGCCAGCGGACCCGGTTCAAGGCATTTGTCGCCATTGGGGATTACAATGGACATGTCGGTTTGGGTGTTAAGTGCTCCAAGGAGGTAACCACAGCCATCCGGGGGGCCATCATCCTGGCCAAGCTCTCCATTGTCCCTGTG